ATAAATAGAAATGGAAGGGAAACATGGGAGGCAGAAATAGAGGGATAAGGAGAGAGAAAGATAGAGAAGAATATGACTGAACTGTGAGAAGCCAAGAGCAAAGTCTGGCAAGGGGAGGCAAGGGAAACTCCAGAGGCAGAAAGGAAAAAAGAGGGGCCAGGAATGAGAAGAGAGAAAGGAAGTGCCGTCTCCTGCTGCTTATTTTTGTCTGGGTCACGAAACTCCATGAGAAAATGACCCTCCTCCTGGCGAAATAGGCAAAGGCACCTCAAGATTTAGTCTTGGCGCTTGCAGTCTGCAGGAACCACCATGGGCCTCAGGGTAAGAGTGCTTGATCCACAGAGCGGGAGAAGACACAGAGAGTGGACGAAGGAAGAAATCGGACACAGGGGGGAGGTGAGAGGAGAGAGGAGAGAGAGAAGGCAGCAGAGTGGCACTGGCTGCTGTAGACCACCCCCCGGCTGACGTCTGGGTGTCAGTGTCACAATCCACAGGACAACGGGCTCTTTGACCCTCACATGCACACACAGTCCTCTGCCACACGGCACCTCCTGCCAGGAAGGCTTGATGTTTTCAGCCAAAGGACTGAATGGCAAGTGGTAAGGAATTAAGGCCCCAGGGTCTTATGATGATTTGTATAAAGCTGATTCCAAATAGGAGAGGCAGAGGAGGAGAAGGATGAAATGAAAGATAAAGAGCGAGGGGGAAGGATAGGATGAGAAGCAGGGAATTGCAGAGAGCTGAGGAGAGGGGTGTAAGAACTGGAGGGGAGACGGATGAGGAAGCAGAAGGGAAATAAAATGGAGAGAGAGAGAGAGAGAGAGAGAGAGAGAGAGAGAGAGAGAGAGAGAGAGAGAGGGGGGGAGAGAGAAAGAGAACGGATAGGCGAAAAGTAAGGAAAGAGAGAAAATTAGCTTAGTATCTCATGAATATTCTTAATAAAAAAAAGAAAGAAAGAAAGAAAGCAAAGAGAGAGGGAAAGGATCAGCGCCACCACCCCAGCCCAGAAGTGTCTACCGTGACCCTCACAACCGAGTTTAACCACGCAGGATGGGCGCGGCCGCTGGGAATGCGACGGGGACCCCAGAGTTCGTGCTGCTGGGGCTGTGGGCCCCGCGGTCCCTGCGGCCCCTGCTGTGGACGGCGCTGCTGCTGGCCTACCTGGCCACGGTCCTGGGCAACGGCGTCTTAGTGGGGCTGATAGCGCTGGACCAGCGGTTGCACCGGCCCATGTACCGCCTGCTGACCCACTTGGCGCTGCTGGACACGGCCTACGTGAGCACCACGCTGCCGCAGGCTCTGGCGCACATGGTGGCGCGCCGGGCCGGCCTCTCCCTGGCACGCTGCGGGGCCCAGCTGTACGTGGGCATCTCCTTGGGCAGCAGCGAGGCCATCCTCCTGGCCGCCATGGCCCTCGACCGCTGCCTGGCCGTGTGCCAACCCCTGCGCTACGCGGTCATCATGACGCCCACGCGCTGTGTCGCCCTGGCCACCACCTCCTGGGCGCTGGGCTTTGTGTTGTCTGTGCCCAACGCGGCGGCCACCCTGCGCCTGCCCTTCTGCCCCGGGAGGCCCCCGGTCGACCACTTCTTCTGCGAGCTGCCCGCGGTGCTGAGAACGGCGTGCGCGGACACGACTGCCAACCACCGGCTGGTCTACGGCTTGGGCACCCCCGTCCTCCTGCTGCCTCTGGCCTTCATCCTCGCCTCCTACGCCTTGATTCTGGCGGCCGTGGGCAAGCTGCCTTCTGCCAAGAGCCGCCTCAAGGCGTTGTCCACCTGCGGCTCGCACCTGGCCGTGGTGGGTCTCTTCTATGGCACGGTGACCGCCATGTACCTGCGCCCCCGCGCCTCCAGGGCCCTCCCTGCCAAGCGCCACAAGCTGGTGGCTGTTTTTTACTTAGTGATTACGCCCGTCTTGAATCCGCTCATCTACAGCCTTCGAAACCGCGAGGTCCACGCAGCAGCCCACTATGCCCTGGCCAGGCTCCGGGGGACCCGCACTGTGCCGGGCTGACCAGACCAGATGGAAACACAGAGCTGGCAGGTCCCTCCTAGTTCTGATGCTTACTCTGTGATCTTGCGCACTTCACTCCATTTTTCTGAATCTCCATGGTGCATCTTTTGTAAAGTACAGGTCAAGGGTCTGCCAACATTTTTTACAAAGATCTAGATTGTAACTATGTTCGGTGTTGCCAGCTGCAGGGTCTCTGTTGCAGCTAAACTGCTGCTGCTGTCGCCTGAGTGCAGCCACAGACAACACAGAAGTGAACGAGTGTGCCTGTGTTCCCCCCCCGAAAACCACTTTATCTGTGGACACTAAACTAACTTGCACTTTATGTAATGCTCACGTGTCACAAAATATGATTCTTCTTTTGATTTTTTCCCCAACCATTTAAAAATGTAAAAACCACTTTTAGCATGTGAATCATGGTTTACCATGCCTGATACAGGGCACAGTCTGAGTCGACAGAATCACTGTGAAGATGCCTGATACAGGGCACAGTCTGAGTCGACAGAATCACTGTGAAGATTAAATGAGTAAGGTATATCAGCCACGGACTTTCATGGCTTTTTGCCATCAATCCAATGTGAGACATTTTTTTGTTGTCACCCAAACATAATAGGTAACATGTACATAGATCGTTATGTGCCGAGCATTTTTTTTTTTTTTGGTCTTTTTTCGTGTCCGGCAACGGATCGCAACCCTCTGTGTTGCTCCCGCACCTCGCTCAGCCAGTGAGTGGGAACCGGTCTGTATGTGGGATCCGACCCCTTGGCGGGAGCGCTGCCGCGCTCCCAAGTGGCGCACTGTAGCAGTGCGCCACCGGGCCGGCCCGTGCTGAGCATTTTTATGAGTGCACTATGTGCTGTATGTAACTCAAGCTGCAGAATAACCTGGTGAAGCAGGCACTATTGTGATCCTCATTTGACATGTGAAACAACTAAAGCGCAAGTAAGTTGAGTGACACACACAGCTGAGAAGTGCTGAGTGATACTCAAATTCAGGCAGTTCTGCTCCAGCACATGTGATCCTAACCATGTGCTATGTTTTCTCTCTCTCTGATCTTTGTCTTCTTTAACTGCATCTCTTCTCCTCCTCCTCCCTCTACCC